GTTTCCCTTCTGAATTCCTGCTTTAGAAGAGACCCTGTCGCCACGTACTTCTAAAAGGCAGCCACGGGTTAGGGAGCCGAGGATGGCAGCAGATGGCTCATCTCATTGCAGCAGTGCTGGGGGTGCCCACTCCAACCTTACCGGGGCTTCGGCATTGTCCCATAACAGCCGAGTGAGCTCCTGCAGCAACTTGGCATCCTTGGCCAGGAGGCGGCTGCCCTGCAGGTGCCAGAGCTCAGGAAGGCTCTCCTGGACACGCCGCAGCCACAGCACCAGCGCTGGAAGTGGACAGGCCCCAGTGCTGAGCTCAGCTGGGCTGTGGGGCTCAGGGAGCCATCAGCCCAGACAGATACAGCCCAGGGGAGATGGCATTCTATGGACTGGAGCAGCACTGGCAGCCCCACCAGCAGGTTTGTCTCCTACCTTGGAAGCAGTGGTAGTGGCAGTCCTTCTGCTCCTTGCTCAGGGTGCACACGGTGGGAAAGAGCACATCCAGCAGCAGGCAGGCCTGCAGAAGCACAGTGGTCAGTGAGCAGGCAGATGGGGACTTCCAAGGGAAAAAAGCCTCAGTACAAAACAGGAGAAAGTTTGGCATCCATGTGAGCTTTCTGTGCCTGCCTAGCAGCCCTCAGCTCCGGGAGAGCAGCTCAGCTTTTGCTGCGTGATGCAGAGCAGGTTGCTGTGTCAGGAGTGACTTTACCCCAGACTCCCACTGCTGGGTGAGGGGCTCTGACCCTGGAGTAAGCCCTCATACCTGGCAGGTGCTGCCCTCCAGCTGGCTGCAGAGGATGTCCGCACGGCAGCATGTCAGCAGTCCCCTGCTCAGCACCAGCCTCTCCAGCCCATCTGACTCTGGGATGCTGTGAGCCTCCACCATCAGCTCCCCAACTCTCAGCTCCCCTGCACCTGCTGGGAAATGGCTGCATTAAATGGGACAGAGAACCAAACTCCACCATCCATCCACTCGGTGGCCTCTGAGAGTGGACACAGCAGCAGAACTCTGACTGACAGTGAGCGTCCTGTCCCCTTTCAGTCCCTTTGCTGAGGCTCTTCCCAGTGCCATCGTAGCACACACCTCTGTCCACGAGCTGGAAGAGGGCGAGTGCAGCTCTGGCCCCGCTCTCAGGCTGTGGGGCTGTATTCAGCAGCATGCTGAGTGCCGTGCCTGCCAGCAGCCGCACATCCTTGCTCAGGGCCTGGACACAGAAAACAAATGCACATCTCTAGCCTCTATGCATTATGTGGGCAACTAGAGAGTACCCTCTGATGCTCTAATGTTCCACTGGGGACATCAGCTGCCCCTGCAGCACCAGGACCGCACGCACCTTCCCAGCCACTGCATCCAGCAGCAGCCCCAGGATGCGCTGCAGGGCTTCATTCTTTGCTGCTGTACTCCACACCAGTGGGGCCACATCCTTTGGCATCATCTGGAAGAGCTGGAGGCAGGCCTGGAGGAATGGAGGGGACAGTGAGGATGGCCTCCAGCACTGCTCACCTCCAAAAAACATGCATGCTTTCCTGAGGCAAGCTCCCACCTTGACAGCCAGGCAGCTCCAGGTGCCACTTGGTGCTGCTTGGCCCTGCAACACGCAGCTCAGGGTGCGGGCGAGGTGCTGCAGGAGTGGGGCCAGGTTCTGCTGCCAGTGGTGACGTCCCAGGCTGCTCTCCTCTATGAACATGCATACTGCAGGAGGGGGACAGTGTCATCTGTGTCCCTCCCAGGGATGGGCAAGGGGTCAAAGAGTAGCAACTGACCTGCCTGAAGGTCCTCAGAGGACAGCACCTGGGGGGCAGAGGGACAGGCACCCTTCACACCCCACACAATGCATGGGGCAGAATTGCCTCCAAAGCTCCCGTAACCAGCTCCCTTCCACAGTGACCCCAAAGGCAGGGGACCGGGGGCACGGTGGCATCCACATGCCAGCTGTTCTCACCTCTCCATGCGGTGTCAGCCCAGCCAGCAGCGTGCCCACCTCCTGTGCCAGCACAGCCTCATGGCCCACGGCCAGCTGGGTCACAATCTGCCGAGAGACCCCCACTCAGCCACAGAAGGACCCTAAGGATCACTCATAGGGGACCGTTACGGACCTGTTCCAGCTTCTGGAAGGCGCTGGAGCTGCCCGCTGCCTCCAGCTGGAAGGCCAGGACACAGCGGAGCAGTGGTCGCACCTCCGTCTCGCCCAGCGCCCGCAGCTCCTCCCCCAACTCCCGTGCCAGCTGCAGGGCCTCCTCCAGATGCTTGTCCCGGCACCGCTTGGCTGTGCTCCTGCAATGGGATGGAGACGAGGTGGGGTGCACCGCGCTGGTTTGCCGTGGGAGTACCTTGGTGGAATGGAGCTTAGCATGGGTGCATCCCAACTTGTTAGAGCTGGAGTGCCCAAGCTCGGAAGGGGTTGGGGTGGGGATACCCGGGCTGCAGGAGGGTTGTGCTGGGGGTGCCCCTGCTTAATGCGGTTGGGGATCTGAGTTGGGCGAGGGCTGCTCCACCTCCATTGGGGATGCACAGGAGGTGACCCAGCTTGTTGTGGTACGGATACCCAGACTCGACTTGAACTCAGCTAGGAGTGCCGCAGCTCCACGTGGTTGCCACGCTCCCATCTCCCCCACCCGCAGCCCGCATAACAAACGCGGGGAAAAGCGCCCCACCATGGGCTCCCCTTCCCCCCGAAGCGCCGTCCCCCAACCCGCGCTCCAGCCGCCCGGCCCGGCCCCGCTCACCCCGCGAACTGCCGCAGGCATCGCACGCAGCACAGCGCGGCGGGGCCCGGCCCGCACCGCCCCGCATCTCCGTAGAACGCGGCGCAGGCCCGCGCCTCCCGCTCGGCACCCATGGCGCGGCGCGGAGCGGAGCGGGCGGAGAGGCGGCCCCGGGCCACGCAGCCGCGCCGCAGCGCCCCCTAGCGCTGAACGGCGGAGCTCCATCCCGCGGCGCCGGATCCTGAGCTCGGGGACACTCAGAGCGCAGCCCGTGCCTGCAGGGAGCGGGAGGGGATTTCTGCCGTTTCCCCCTAGGATTTTCAAACCCTAGAAATTCACTTTTGACAAGCGAGCGGCTAAAGCAGATTAACCTTTTTGCTAATCTTCTATAATGGCTTTGGAATCTCCTTAACCAATAAGGAAATGATAAGAGCCCGTTTCTTTTCTTTTTATCTATATCTATATTGTCCTTCCTTGTCTGCATTTTTTTTTCCTTCTTGTTTTATTTTCCCTTCCTTTTCTAACACGAAATGGCCCAGATCCTATCGCCCACAGCTGCTGTAAACACAACATCGGTAATCCCTTCCTTTATTCCTCTCCAGTAACAGGGGGCAGAGAGGTGTCTGCCGATTGGGATTGATTACAGCAGCTATCAAAAGTCTCCTTTGTAAGATCTGGATCCTAAATCATATAATTCTTTGATAAAAGAAGCATTACCGGTCCATTTTCTGAAGTGAAAGGTATGGGAGAAATGGAAAAAAAGCAATCAGCGAAGGCACTAATAGGCAGGGATGGGCAGGGAGCGGGGAAAGGCCCTTTGTGAAGGATGGGGAACAGGGATTAATCTGCTTCAGCCGTATGATTAGTACAGCTGAGAGCAGAACGGGTCTGATTTGGGGAGCAGGACCTGGCCCCACACTGTACTCATGCCAGGGCTGGGAGCTGGGGGTGGGTACCAGCAGGCTACAAGGGGCTTTTCCCCTTGTATTGAATTGGTTATAATTTATGTTACAAATTCAATAGCCAAAAGAGAAGCAAAACAGAGGGATGGAAGAAAAACTGCTGACATTTAATGCACAGCAGTTTCACAGCTCTCACTCCCGTGTCGCTGGCACCACACTGCCCTGCCCGCAGCACCCAGCAGCACCATTCACCAGGTGGGTTTCCTGCACCTTGCTGCAGACCTTGGCTTGCACAGCTCTACAGGGCAAGAGAACTCGGGTTTAAGCAACCTGAGCTCAGCCCTCTCCTGCAAGACTGTGTCCCCAGGCTGCTCATCTTGCTGGGCTCAGTGCGGGCACCCATCCCTTCCGTGGTGATTTCCAGGGAGTGTTCAGTCCTGGTACCACGTCCTCTCCACACTGCGAGCAGGACACATCCAACATGCCTCCCCAAGGGCAGCTGAGAGAGAAGTGCTTGTGTGCCACCAAGATGTGCCACCAAGATGTGCCACTGAACTGTACCACCAAGCCAGGCCACCAACATGCTGTGAATGGCCATCATCTAATTTATTAAGGGATTTGAATCCTTACCAAGAGCATGCTAGATGTGAAGCATCTGTATTACTGTTCTGATTATGGCAATGAAGGTGGGGGAAAAAAGAAGAGAAAATACAATTTCTCTGCTTTCAGCAGAAAATAAGACAACTTTTGCAGAGAGTTCTGGTGCAGCTAAAGGCTGTGCTCTCATTAAAAATGACCTTTTATTAAGCTGAGCTCTCTTCTCTCTCATATTGTATGATATGACAGCTCTCTTTTGATGGGAAAGCTTTCATTTGGCCAGAGAAAGGGATAATTTGCTTCTTGTAAGGAGTTAATCCTCCAGTCCATTTCTGTGCTGGGGATGGCTGTCCTCCCCCTGCCCTGCACTGGAGGCTTCGGCACAATGGAGATCATAACCACCTCAAATCTACACCTGAGATGGAGAAATCAGATTTCCTTCTTGAGTCATTTTTGTGGGATTAGCTAAATCTTAGATCCACACTAACCCTTCACAAAGCCAAGATTAGTTAGAATTTATTTTATTCACAAGGGGGTTTATGGTTTTCTTTCCAAAGGGATTATATCTCTCTATATATAGGGTGGCTTCAGGCATAAAGCAGCCAGGTTAGAGGGAGGAAAAGTGTGTGTGTGTATAAAATAAAAACTCTGCTGCCAGAATGACCGTCACTTGAAACTCTGGGACAGCGCAGGGATTCTGGGCAGCCTCACTGCTCTGCTTTCAGGGCTCCTTAACACTGCAAGACCCTGCAGAGAGCAGACCCTGCTCAGTGTGAGCTTCTACTACCACTGGCCCAGCCAAGGATGTCTGCAGAGCCCACGCTGGATGCCAGCTCAGGCAGGAGAGCTGTGCAGTGCTCCTTCAGCATTGAGAACATCCTCGCCAGCCCGGCAGAGAGGAGCCCCCAGGTTCTGGTTCCACTCTGCCTCCAGAGCATCCTGGACTGCGCACCCAAGGGGCTGTGCGAACTGGAGGGCATTGCGCTGCAGGAGGAAGAGGACGAGGAGGAGGAAGAAGAGCTGGAAGGTGCGTCTTGTAGCTGCTGCTGCTGCTCCCACACGGGCACACGGCCTCTGCAGGACCCTCCAGGTTGGCTGGGTGAGTGACTGGGGCTCTGCGTGCTGCAGTTTGTTTGCTGGGTGACAGTGCAGTGTCCAACCTGCCACAGTGCTGGGTGCTTTTCTCTGACCTCAGCTCTGGTGAGGAGCTGCTGAGTCTGCTGTTAGCAGGGCTTCTGAGAGCTGGCACCCTCACCAGGGTTTGAAATCAGCAGGTGCTTTTTGTTACCAAGTATTGCTGCTTTATGGTAAAGCACACAGAGTGGCAGTTCAGGGTAGGAGCTCTGCAGAGAGCATGGGCTCCATGGTCATGCTGACAGAGCTCCTTTGCACCACCTGCTCTTGGGAATCTTACTTGTCCTTTCAGGGAAAGGTGGGAGGATTTTTTTGCTCTAGCAAAAATCTAGCAAATCCATATCTAGCAAAGTGGATGCATTTAGCAAAAGAAAATAAAAGAAAAATAGAAAACCTTAATTTGTGGCTCAAAAGCATCCTGAAAGTTCAGAAATACTCTGTGTTATGATGGAAAAACAACTCCTAACCATGCTGCTAAGTTTCCAAGTCATTTTCTGGAGCTTGCCCACAGCACCAAAGGTAAGTGAACACAGAAAACAACACTAGTGCTCCTCACCTATATGCTTCTTTCCAAGTGACACTCTGGGCCCTTCTCCTGCTTGCACTGTGATCATACATCTTTCACCCATGCAAGCTGTACTCCATCCATGCAATGAGTGCAGATGCAGACAGTGCTCGATGCCACTGTATTTCAGCTGCTCACCCCCAGAGCTGACCGTCCCCCTCCTTGCAGACACCAGGTTCCCTTGGCCCATGCGACTGCTCCACTCGGTGGTCAGAGGCTGCAAGAGCCCTCAGGGCAGCCCCAGCGAGCTGCAGGCCTTCCAGCAGATCCAGCGCAGGACGCGCCGCCATCGCACCATTTTCACCGAGGAGCAGCTGCAGGCCCTGGAAACACTTTTCCACCAGAACCAATACCCGGACGTCATCACCAGGGAGCACTTGGCCAACCGCATCCACCTGAAGGAGGAGAGGGTGGAGGTGAGGTGCTGGGAGGAGCTTTCTCCCTTCTGCTCACTGTAACTCCAGGAGAACACAAACTGGGGCACGGTACTGTCTTTCTGGGGAGCTGCAGATCTAGAGTTTGAAGTCTTGTTGTAAAAAACATTCTTGGTATTTTGGGTATTTGATTAAATGTAGATGAAATGTCAGGGGGATTTTTGTCTGCCCAAAGGCTGCCCAGAGAGGCTATGGAAGTCCCATTCCTGTTCAAGGCCAGGCTGGATGGGGCCCTGGGCAACCTGATTTAGTGGTGGCAACCCTGCCTGCAGCTGGTGGGTTGGAACTAAGTGATCTTTGATGTCCCACCAAGCCCAAGTCTTTCTACGATTCTGTGATACCCTAGTGCCACTCTGCACAGCCCGAGGGTATTCCTGCCTAACCAACACAATGCAGACGTTCTTTTCTCATTTTACACTTTCCAGGTCTGGTTTAAGAACCGTCGAGCCAAGTGGAGGCATCAGAAGAGAGCATCTGCCTCGGCAATGGTCCTTCAGGGCAGCGCAGAGCCGCCCAAGGAGAGCTGCTAACGGCCCTGCGGGAGGGGAGCAGCGGGGCCGGGCTTCAGAGGGCGGGATGGGTGAACGCAGGCGGGGCTCCTTCGAAACCCGGCCTGTGTGCTGAGCCCTGTTGAAGTGATGTGGCCCTCAGATGCTGAAGCGAGCACAAAGCTGACAAGTGGTGTGGGGACCGTGCCTGTGCTGTGCACGTGAGCCCCGGCCGGGATCCCCGGGCTGCGCTGCTTGTGTTTGTGTCAGCTCTGCTTTATGAACACGTGCCAATGAAGGCTGTTCTCAGCACTCCGTGGCTTCGAGCATCACTTCGGGGCTCCCAGGACGAGGTGCCTCGCCCCAAGCAATGCCGGCCATGCCTGTGCCCCTGGCGCGGGCAAAGACCCGCATCCCTCACCACATACACACCTACGGAGCTGCCGAGCCCCGCCCGCGCCCCCCAGGCCCCGCCGCGACTCCGCTGCCCCGGCGTCTCCGTCACCGGGGCACCGGGGGCCCGGTCCGCTCCTCCCAGCCGCAAGGGGGCGCGCTGACAGCGGCTCCCTACGCCTCTCCCGGAAGGAGCTCTCCAACTCTTTGTCGCGTTATTATGACGTCGCGTCGCGTCGCGTCTGCGACGGCGGCCGAGGAGGGTCAAGGCGTCATGGCGGCCGTTCCTGCGCCTTCCTCCGGAGCTTTGGTACCCGTCGCCGCCGAGGCGGGCGCCGTGGTCAGGAGCAGGGAGACCGTCCGACCGGCCGCCAAGCGTCCGAAGAAGATCCTGGATGAGGATGCCTACATCGAGGTGGGCGGCGGGCCCGGGACGCCCCGCTCCGTGTCACCGCGGCCGCTCGCGGCCCGGCCTGTCCTGAACGGCTGGGGACAGCGAGGGGTCCTGACACGTTCGTGCGATTTTCTGTTTGCAGAGTTTAGAGAATATTATTCAGCGAGATTTCTTTCCCGACGTGGAGAAGTTACGGGCGCAAAAGGAGTATCTGGAAGCTGAGGAAAATGGTGACTTGGAGAAAATGAGGCAAATCGCTATTAAATTTGGCTCCTCCTTGGGCAAATCATCGCGGGACACACCTGTGCCATGTAAGAACCATCTCACCATGGCTGTTTTAACGTTTAAACTGATATTATAGATGATTTCTGCAAAACAAAACAGAAAAATGACGTTATGCTTTGTCATTTCATATGCCGTGGGCTATGCAAGAGAGAGAAATGGTCTTCAACTTTTTATTTATTTGTTTGGTTTTTTTAAGGTAAAAGCATTTGTATTTAATGTTATCGCTCTTATCTAATGTCATACAACAGATTTACATTGCATGGGAATGAGTATGGCAGACTGGGCAGTAGTCAGTATCTGATGACTGATGTAATATTTCTGTTTTATAGTGTCCAATAATTCCTTCTGGAGAAAAAGAAGCAGTGTGGTAACTGTGTCAGACAAATTTTGTCAAGCTCCTGTTTATTAGCAAAGATCACATGCTGTACCTTACAACACTGTACTGTGAGAAGCTTTAGGCTATGTTCTAAATCATCATTACAGTTTTTGGGGTGGAAGGCATGGAAAGCTCATGACAGCCCAAGGTTAATGCAGCAAACATCAGATGCTCAGTTGTGTGTTTGTTTTCACTTTGAGTTTGGGAATTTTTTATGCTGAAGGCCTGTGCCTCACTGAGCTCGTGGGCAGTTTAGCTAAGCAGCTTTCTCATAGCAAAAGGACACATCTCACATGGTGAATTCCTTTCCTCCCCTCCTGTGGGAGAAAACACTGAGCTGTGTTAAGGTTGTTAAGCTCACATTGCTACAGCAAATTTGTACACCTCTGACTCTCCTGTGAATTTTTCTCAGCATGGGAATGTCTCAGATGAGAGATGTTGTTTGTTGATGGGAGCCATATTGAAAAGAATGTTTTATAGTCTTTTTACAACTTTTTAATGACATTGTTCTTCTTGTGATTTGTCTTCTGTGATTCATGTTTGGTACCTGACCTGTGATGCAGAATGTCATGGCAAGTGTTCAGTTCTGTGCTCTGGTAACCATGCTAACATTTTTCTTTGGTCACAGATGTTACCCCAGCCACGTTTGAAACCCCAGAAGTGCATCCAGGTGGTCTCCCTCTGGGAAATAAATCCAGAGCTGGCACTCGAGCTGCAGAGGAAGGTAGGAGAATAATGTTTCTGTCGCTAAATTCCTCAGCAGCACGAAAGTATGCTTGTGAACTCTGTCCCCTGGTGAAGGTTAAACATTAGCCAGTGCTTAAGCAGTTTCTTTTAACCTTCTAGTAAGTGAAAATAATCAATCTGAAATTGTGTGAATTTTCAATTATAGATCTCTTTAAGGCAGTATGACTTCCTAATGCATTGAATTTGTTTGAAAATAGTAAATTTCTCCTGTGTCACCTGAAATTGGGGTCAGTAAGCAAAGATAGCAGAGGCATAGATATTCGTGTGGCATGTTAGAAATGTCTGCTGGTGTCTGGGCACTTGTGTGTTTTCCTTTAACAGGAGTAGCTATAAATGTAGTGAAAGCCTTTCTTTGAAAGTTGGTTATGTTTTCTGAAGTTGTGTCTTTCTGCATTTATACACTTCTTTTTTTTTCCCACTAAGTTTAATTATTAGTGGGTCAGTAGAGGGCTACTCACAGAATGAACTAAGGCTTGTGTCTCTTACAAAAAGGGAGATATTAACCTATGTCAAACTTCTTCCCTCTTATTAGGAGAAGCAGAAAAAGATGATAAAGATGCTCTTCCCAATCTGGACAGTTTCTTAGCAAAACACACGAGTGAAGATAATGCTTCATTTGAGCAGATCATGGAAGTGGCCAAGGAGAAGGAGAAAGTCAAGCATGCTTGGCTGTACAGTGCGGAAGAGGAGTATGCCCAGGTAGGGAAATGGCTCCAGTGTTTCTCTGCACTTCCAAAATGACACAAGAGGGAAATGCCCTTTTACTGTATTTCTTTCCTGTTTAATTAAATGGTGTATTTTCTTACCATCTGTTTTGTTCAGACTCTGCCAAATGCTTACATATCTGTATTCTTATGGAAAAGTTTGAAAACCCTCTGATTAATAGTATAGAAAAAGATTCTGCTCTTTTCTTGCTGCTTGTATCAGCTAATACATTTTCTGGTATGGTAGAATGGTAGAAAGATTCTTTCAAGGCTACTCACTTTAGTTTTGAAGACTGCCTTTGTATGAGATACGTGGCAGATCTTGCTATTCTCTTTTTTCTGGTGATGAAGTGTTCAATTTAATTTTGATTAGTAGATGGAAAAAAACGAAAGCTGTTTGAATCATCATTAGTGTTGTCAGAAGGTGTAACAAATAGATACGTAATCCTTGTGATTTTTTTAAGTCTATGGTGCTCACTTGATTTTATACAAGAGCTCATACAGGGTTTTGTAAGCTCACCTATGGGCACAGGATGGTTTCTCAGATGCCAGTTGCCAGAAGGAGGGAGCTCGTGCTTTGCAGGTGCTAAGTACATTAGGACTTGTAGCTGAGCTTGTGATTCAGCTCTTGCAAGTGGTGCATGCTTGATGAAAAGATTGCAGGAGTACGTTTTCAGTCCTAATTTTTTCTTCTCTTGTCCTTTCAGAGACGAAATGAAAACCTGGCACTTCCTTCAGCAGAGCAGCAAGCCCTGGAGAATGTGAAAGCTGGGCTGGAGACCTGGGAGTACACTGCTAGAAACACCCTCATGTATTATCCAACAGGTGAGGCATGCAAGTTGCAGGAGGGCAATCTGTCTAGGTTTGTTGACTCCAGACAGTGCTTATCCCCCTTCTGACAGAACAGCTCTTACTGGTGCTACTGCACTGTTTCTTCTGTGTAGTTCAGAGATGTGCAGCTGTTATAAGAATCTTCTCCACCCATCCTGCACCATTCTTGAGATCTTGCTTCATTGCCTCTGATTGCAAAGCTGGATCGTGTTCTGTCACTGAACAAGCATTTGTTTTTAGGAGCCATAAATATTTCTGGTTTGTTTCATCTTATTCTTAAGCACTCATTATCTTCAGTCATTTGCTGCTTCTGCTCAAAGAGCGCTGCTTTGGTTTTGTGGTCGCTTGGTTGCTGTAGGAAATTCTATCATGTTGTAGCTGAGCCCTTTCACAAAGACCTTCTGCATTTCAAGGTGTACCTGATGAGGAGGACACATTTAAGAAGCCCAGGGAAGTCGTCCATCGGAACACTCGTTTTGTGAAAGATCCATTTAGCCAAGCCTTGAGCAAATCACAGCTCCAGCAAGCTGCAGCCCTCAATGCTCAGGTTGGATAATTTTGTTGCTTCTGGTCAAAGGCCTTTAAAACAACATAATTGTTGATGATGTGTGTGTGCTGGATACAGATAGCTGGCATCTTTCTCTAGAAGTTGATGAATGACACTGTTTTTATTATTTCAGTACAAACAGGGGAAAGTAGGACCAGATGGGAAAGAGCTGATACCCCAGGAGTCTCCAAAAGTGAATGGATATGGATTTGTGACTACTCCCTCTCCTGCCCCTGGTAAGAGGTTTCCTTATGGCTGTTTTCCTCTTTTCATCTGAATCTGCTTGTGTGTCACAGTTCCATTTTGTTCAGATGTACTGGCTTCAGGATGCCTTCAGTTAGAACACTGATTATTTTTCTTCTAGTTCAGATACGGTGTTTGAATTTATAGCTGCTCCTCACCAACATGGTTTTCCTTGTCTTTTTTTTTTATCCCCCTTAAAATGTGAATGTAGTGAGACTTTTCCTCTGAGAAGCCTGTAGGTGGCATATGGAATGCACCTCTTTTCATCAGTGAAAATGCCTTTTCCAAACAGTGGACAGCCGGATTTTCTACCCAGTGACTTAATCTTAGAATCTATTCTGTAATTGTAGCTGTTAGGCAAGGTGTAGTCATTGTTTGACACAGACATTTGGTTATTCCATGTCTTAAGTCTTCTATCATTTCCTTGCTTTCAAATAGTTCCACGTATTGAAGGAATTTTCATACAGTATCAAAGGGGAAGATTGGTACTGTAGAATTAGAAAATGAAAGTTTCACTAAGCA